TGATTTGCAACGACATGGACGGACCTAGAGAGAATTATATTAAGTGAAACAAGTCAGGCACAGAAAGAGAAAAATCACATGTTCTCACTTATTGGTGGGAGCTAAAAATAAATAAATAAACACACACACACACACACACACAAAATACTGGGGGGTGGGGGGGAAGAAGACATAACAATTGCAGTTCCTTGAAGTTGAACAGACAAGCGAACAGAAAGAACATTGTTGGGAGAGAGGGGGGAGAGGGAGGAGGGAGGGAGGTTTTGGTAATGGGCCACAATAATCAACCACATTGTATATTGACAAAATAAAAGAAAAGAAAAAGAAAAAATTGGGGCCGAGCCCGTGGCGCACTTGGGAGAGTGCGGTGCTGGGAGCACAGCAGTGCTCCCGTCGCAGGTTCAGATCCTATATAGGGATGACCGGTGCGCTCACAGCGCTCACTGGCTGAACGCGGTGCGGCCGGTCTCAAAAAGGACAAAAAAAAAGAAAAAGAAAAAATTGTTTAAAAAATTGAAAATAAAAAATAAAATAGGTATAATTCAGGTTCCCTACTGCACTAGGCTGTCATAAGAGTCCACCTGCAAAATTCTGAACTGTGGATAATTGTACAGACCTGGGGCTGCAAATGCAACAGCCAACACAGGCAGTGATATGGACCAATGTTTGCACTGAAATGGAAGTACTCATAAATACCCTTTAGGAACATGTCCACTCCTGTTTTTCTTGTAAAATATGGCTATGTTGGTCTAGCTTCCCCTTTTAATAGAGATGTGAACACAAAGAAATACTTTTTTGATAGAGACTTGGGCACAGAGAAATATTTCTCTGCTATAAGGTTATTATATCATTGCCTTTGTAGTGATAGTGCAGTAAAAATACAACTTGTCCATTAACCTTTTGAGGACTGTAGCAAACTGGAGAGCACGTGTCCCATCTCAAGGTCACCCTCAGCCCGTATGAGGATGCTGGCCCCGTGTTGTCAGAGCTTCCAAGTTTTCCATATTTGTAATGAATTCTCCTAGAAATTAATTTGAGCCCTCCAAGCAACTGCAGGCTACCAGCTTGTGACCTCTTGACCTTGGCCTCAGCCTTGGGCTCTGGATTGGAGCCTGCCCAGACATGCTGTCCCTACAGGCTCCTGTGGCTCAAAGTCATCAAGAACATTCACACTGGTGTACAGCTGGAACAGACAGAGAATAAGACCAAAGTGGCCTTCGAAGAGTGCCACACCCCACCTGGATACCTGAGCATCAAGGTTCTGGAGCAGTAAGTACCTGCCTACTGCTGTGCTTCCACTTGGAAGGGCCGGATGCCAGCCCTTCCTGTACTTATCCTTCACTGAAACTCAGGGCTGGGACTTCCTCTCCCCAGTCTAGCTTTCTGGAAGTACCAGTGGAGCATCAGGGACAGGGTCAGCTCCAAGGCCAGAGACTACATGCACCCCTGTCAGTATCTCCCGCCTCCACATTGAATGTCATGGCTAAGAGCATTTATCCATGCAGGTTCATACCTCAGCTTGGCCAGTTCCTAACAGTGGGGCCCTGGCCATGCTATGTGACCTCTAGGAGCCTCAGTTTCCTCACCAGTAAAATGGGATCACTCACAGTAACCAGCCAGCATGGGGTAGTTCTGGGAAAACTAACCCATGTGACTAACTTAGCACAAAACCTGCCACATAAGTTGGCCACTATTATATTTGCCCAGCACAAAACCTCCTCCAGGAAGCCTTCCATGACCTCCACTGTCAGGTGTGACCTCTTCCTACTCAAAAATCCCAGAAACCTTTATCAGAGAGAGAAATAAAAAGGCAGAGAGAGAGTCAGAAAGAAATAAAGAAAAGAAAGAAAAAGTCAGGGAGAAAGAAAGCAAGAAGGCAAAACGTGGGGGAAGAACGGAAATGGAAAGGGGAGAAAGAAAAGAGAGGAGGGGAGGGAGACCCAGAGTAGGGAAGGAAGCAGCCACTCTGAGCCCCCATGCTACACAGGCCCTGAGGGGGTCTTCCTCAGCCCTCCCCTGGGCTCCCTTGCTGGCCTCAGTCTCCCCTTCCATGTGTGCATAGGATGGACTCCCTCCTAATGAACAAAGCTCTGAAGTTTGTGACAAGCATCCTGGACAAGACACTGCCCTTCCTCCTGCAGAAGACAGTGAGTTGCCTGGCTTCCCCTGCCTCCCTGGGAGAAAGGTGTGACCCCCAAAGGAGATCCCTTGAGCTCAATCTGACCCCAACGAGGACCCCCATGCGTTCCCTCCAGGTGTGCCCACTGGCCATGACCCTGCTCAATTTGCTGCTGGAAGACCTACTGCACATCATCCTGTGTATGTTGCTGCGGGCCGAGATGGGGACTTGTCTGCTGCCCCTTGCTGTGTGCCAGGCGCTGTTCTAGACTCTAGGAATATGATGGGGAACAAGACAGACAAACACAAGGAGGCTACTATCTAGTGGGGGAGAAGAGGGGCAACATAGCTTGTGACCTTGGTAGGCCATTTCCCCCTTGAGCCTCTGTCTGTAAAACGGGATTAGTCATAGGACCACAGAGCAGGACTGCTGCAATAATACACATAACCTGGCACATGCTATCACTCAATAAGTGTTCGTCGTTACAAGAAGCACAAGCCCAGTCCTCAAGGAACTTAAAGCTAAGCACAGAGGGAGGGGGAATCTCTCCCCACATCCCTCCATCCCCCGCCCAGGGCAGGCTGAGCCCCAGTTTCACGTCCTCGTTGTAGCCCCAACCATCTCAGGCCCCAGCAACTTCCAGTACTATGTCACCACCACAGAGTTCACAGAGGAGGCCATCCTGATGAAAGTCCAAGTGAGCTTCCTGGCTGGGGCAGACCCCTGGGAGAATGTCCACTGGTCTAGGGGAGGAGGAACACAGAGGAAAGGAGATGGGGCTTCTCTGGATAGGAGGAAAGGGGAGAAGGAGGGGGAAAGAAGAAAGAGAAGGAACAAATAAAGGAGATGGAAGGCAAAGGGGGAGGACGGAGAAGGGGCAGGGGAGGCCCCACAGGCCCTGAAGCTCATGCAGAGCCCGGGGAGTCCTGCTTCAACCCTGGAGAACAGGGAAGGCCACAGGGCTGTGTGGCCCACGAGCGAGGATCAGGATCCAACAAGAGAGCAGGTGGGCCAGCTCTGGGGCTGCAGGACCCCACACAACACCCCAGCTGAAAGGGGCCTCTCAGATGGGGAAACTGAGGCTCCAAGAAGGGATGAGGCTGGCTGTGTCTGCCCAGCTCCCACCTCCTGTCCACCACTCCTCCCCCATCCCCACAAGATGTTAGGGGGTGGATTGGAGGACGGGAACGATTTGAGTGGACAGGAAGGAGGCACTGCTAACAAAGGTGCAGAGAAGGGAATGGGGTCAGATGAGGGAAGAGCAGGGAAACGTGGGTGCATGGGTTCAAAGCCCAGCCTTCCCTCTTCCATGTGTGGGGTCTTCAGTAAGTCACTTCACCTCTCTGGGCTTCAGTTCTCTCATCTGTCAAATGGTGACAACAATAGATCCCATCTCATGGTACTGCTGTGAGGTTCCAATGAGATCATGAACACAAATGTTCAGCACCATGCCTAGCATATAGCAAGCCCTTGATATTTAAGCTGCAACCAAACGTTAGCCAGAGAGGCTATTCCCATGAATTTCTTTTTGTTGTTTCATTTCTCTGAAGCTTGTGACCCCTTGCTGCCCAGACCAGAGAGCCGCAAAGCCTGACCTTCTGGCCCCCAGCCCATTCCAAGATTAGCCCAGGGCAGCAAGGCAGACCTGGCCTTTGGGTTGGAAGTCTACAATGACGTTCTGTCCTGCCTCTACACCAGCAGGGAGATCTGTGTGGCCCCCCAGGACTCCATGGTGAGTGCTTGAGGAAGGGGAGTCAGGGTGGGATAGAATGTTATTGCTCTAGTTTTTACGTGAAGAAACCAAGGCCCGGGTGGCAAAAGTGCCTTTCTGATAAAGGCACTAGATAAGTCACTTCCCCTTTCTGGACCTCACCTGGAGAACTCCTATTTAGCCTTCAGAACCCAGCATAGAAGTCCCCTTACCTGGGAAGATTTCCCTGAACAACGCAGGCCCCTGTCATTCCTCTCTTCAGAACACTTATCCATTCATTTATGCCACAGATACCTGTCGAAGGCATACTGTGTGCCAAGCCCTGTGCACACAGGGTCTTTGCCCTTGCAGAGCTTAGAGTCTAGTGGGGGAATAGAAACTGAATAAGAAAATAGCCAAAAAATAAAACAATTTATCTTATTTAAAGTAAGTAGGGCAATGGGGTAGTGAGTGAGTGATGGAGGAGAGAGGGCTTCCCTGGACACAGTCAGCAAAGATGCCTCTGGGGAGGTGGCCTGATTGGTGACAAGGAGGCACACACACAGAGGTCTCCAAGAAGAGCCAGTTCCCAGGGTCAATGGGGGGATCAAATGAGGAAGAAATCCAGACACGTCACTGCTCAAAAGCCCTTAGCAACTGCTCATTGCACTTTGAATAAAATCCAATCTCTTCTCTAAGCTCCCAGGGCCCTGTGTGATCTGGCCCCTGCCCCCTCTCCAGCCCTGTCTTCACCCACTACACTCCAGCCACACCTCAGGGCCTTTGCACATGCTGGTATCTACCTGGAACTCTTTTCTCGCCACTGTTGGTCTCAGTACAAATGTCATCGCCTCAAAGAGCCCCTTCTTGACCATTGCATCTAAAAGATATAAAGTAAGCTCTCTCTCTCTCTCTCTCTCTCTCTCTCTGTCCTTTTCCCTTCAAAATGCTAATCAGGGCTGGCTGATTAGCTCAGCTGGTAGAGCGTGGTATTGATAACACCAAGGTCCAGGGTTCAATCCTTGTACCAGCCAGCCACCAAAAAAAAAAAAAACTGATCACACTCTAACCTTACTTATATACTACTATGTATAAAGTTATATATGCAAAATTTTATATATATATATATATATACACACACACACACACGTGTATATATGTGTGTGTATTTATTTACTTAACATTGCTTGTTCACTGTTTCCTCCATTATGAGGTCAGGGACTGTGGACAGTATACTACATGAAGGGCACAAAGTGGGTGTTCAGTAAATATTTAATAAATAAATGAAATCCTAAGATCCATATTTGGAGGAGATTATTGTTATTGCTCCACTTTTCACATGAGGAAACCGAGGCCCAGATGGGGAAAGTGACTTATTCAAGGTCACCCAGCAGGTAGGATCAGGACTAGAGCCAGATCTCCTGCCTCTCCCTGCTGGTCCCTCCATCCTATTTGGTGGGCAAAGGTATACGCACAGGGGTGTTCTTTGCAGCTTTACTTGTTATAGGGTGAAAAATAAAATTCACTTAGGTGTCCATCGATAAGGAAGTGGTAAAATAAATGAGGTTATGCTCATGCAGTGTGGAATACTACACAGCTGTTTAAAAGAATGGGGTCATTCTATATGTACTGATGCTGTGTGGAACAAACAAGGTGCAGGACCATGTGGTTACACTGTTCCCATCTACTCATGCTTGTAGGTGTGCAGAAAAAAGTCTGTCTGGGTATACTCCAAAATGTCAACTGTGGTTACCCCTGAGATAGAATTCAGAGGGAAAAGAAAGGAGATGTTGGGGTGGACTTTTACTTTTTACTTTATACTTTTCTGTAGTGTTTTCTATAATAATTTGTGATATTCAAAAACCAACAAAGCATAGATAAATGGATGGAAACGTGATAAAGCAAGTATAGGAAAATGTTAATAGAAGGATCTAGGTGATGAGTATACAAATGTTCTCTATAAAACTTTTTCAACTTTGCTGTACATATAGAAATTTTCACAATAAAATGGGGGGGGGAATCATAGAAACCATAAAAAGTTAACCTCTGCAGATAAACCATGATGAGAAACCAGATGCACAGCTCCTCTCATGCTGAGACAGACCAGCGTGCAGGCAGTGCATCCAGGGGGGACAACTATATCTTGTTGAACCCCACTGGGCCCCTCCCCTGCCTGCTCAGGAACAGACCTGCAGGATCCTAAATGCCAACATACACTTTGCCCTTTTCCCAGGCCGGGTGACCTCATTTACCTGCTGTCCCTGAGAGAGCAGGAGCCTGGGCCCAAGGTGGGTGTGTTACCAGCTCCTCCTCCAGTACCCTGGCCAGGGTCTGAGGAAAAATTCTGGGATGGGGGGTGGGCATGTTCTATTTCTTGCTGTGGACTCTGAAAAATCGCTGCAGTTGCTTCACAGGTGTTGTGAGGATTAAATGAAATGATGAAATTAAGGCCCTTAGCTCACTGCCCAGCCAGGTGACCTTGGCTGTGTGGCTGTCATTATTATTCACTACTGCAAAAGACCCCAACCCTGCTAAGGCTCACCTAGATAATAGTGGGCAGTGACTGTGTGCAGGCCCCTCCTCCTACATCAGTGTAATCTTCCAGCAACCCTGCACTACCACCTCCTGTTTATAGGTAAGCAAACTGAAACCCAGTAAGAAGAATTCACTTGCCCAAGCTCACATTGCTCAGTAAATGGAAGAACCAGAATTTGAACCCAGTCCATGACTCCAAAATCCATGTTCAAAACCTTCTCTCCAAAGGCTTTTAGAATATGGCACATGAAGAACAAACAGCAATAATAACAATAACCACAACAGCTGACAAGTAAACAGCATTACTAGGTGCCTTTTCTTTTTTTTTTTTTTTCCTTTTTGTCTTTTTCCGTGTCCGGCAACGGATCGCAACCCTCAGTGTCGCGCCCGTACCGGACCGGGGACCGGCAACAGGATCACAAACCTCGGTGCTGCGCCCGCACCTCGCTCAGCCAGTGAGCGGGAACCGGTCTGTATGTGGGATCCGAACCTTCAGCGGGAGCGCCGCCGCGCTCCCAAGCGTTAGTGCGCCACCAGGCCGGCCCACTAGGTGCCTTTTCTAAGCACTTTACATAACTCATTTAATCCCCACAACAACTGTATGGGGTAGGTTCAGTTATTATCCCTAAATAACAAGTGTAAAAATGGAGGCACAGAAAAGAAAAGATTAAGAAACTTGCCTCAGGCTACGTAGCTTGCAAGTGGTAGAGCGGGACTCTGGTTCTAAAAATCTATGTCCTTAGCTGCTATGTATGCCCAGGAGAGGGAGGATGTAATCCCACCTCGGAGAAGCTCAGGAAGGCTAGGTGACCTCCCCAGGGACAGACAGCAAGTTGCTACAGAGCTAGAATAAAAACCCAGACACCCTGACTCCTAAGATGGTCTTGTTCCCATTCCTCCAAGCTGGGGGCTGAAGAAAGCCATCTTCTGTCCCTACCTGTGCCTTTTCTGCTTTAACCTCATTCAGGCTTCTAATCAGTCCAGAGGGAGCGTGGGACTGACCATCAGCACCCCTGATACTCCCACTCTCCACCTTGAGGGCTACACAGCCATGGTCATCCAGCCAGGCTCTCTGGTGCTGCTGAGGCCCAGCAATACCTCCTGTGACTCAGTTTCCTGGGTGTGTGAGACTCAAAATTCTTTGTTCCCCAGGGGGCCTGGGTCCGCTGTGAGGGGTCCTCTAGGGCCTGCAGGTTAGTAGGAGGTAGTGGCAAACCTCACCACCGTGTCATCTGCTGACATTCCATCAGTCCACACTGGGATAGCTGGGCCGGTTCCTAAAATCTTAACATACTTTAACCCTGCTAGCCTAAGTTCACCCCCGGTGCTCCCCAAGGACTTCCTCAGCAGCTAAAGGGTTTTGCCTCCAAGACCCTGAGTTTGGTGCTCCTGCTGGCTAGTTGTTAAGTCCTTGGACTGTCACCCCGGGCATGACCACATCAAAAGCTCAGGAGGAACTCAGAGACATGGGGTTCATGGAGGGCCTAAAACGTGCCTGTGTTTCCCGGAGAGAGAGTGACCCAGGCCAGAGAGGACTGGGCATGGGGGGGAATTCTGGGGGAATACAGCACCTCCAAAGTTTCAACATATCCATTCTGAGCTCCTTTGGGATTTGTGTTTCGCATTCCACAGACCCTGAAATTGGGAAGGTGCCTCAGAAAGGAGGCAGGCAGGTCACCCCACCACAGGTGGGCCAAGTGGCATCTGATGGGCAGAACAGGATACCGGGATTTGTTTGCTTGATTCTGTGGCCAAGAAACCAGTCTTCTCTGGCTGGTGGTGAAAAGTCTTATTTCTGGTTTATAAGGTGACCGTGGACACTCCCCTCAAAACCCAGGGGTCCTCCAGCTTCCAGCAATGGTGATTCTAGGGCCAAGGGACTCTCATCACAAAAGGCTTTTCCTCCACTGAGCTGAGCCCCTCCCATGTGCCAGCCCTGGCTGTCCTGCCCTCTGGAGTACCCAGCACCCTCCAGGGCCCTCTCCCATGGCAAGCCCCCCCACACGGTCTGAACACACTTGACCCAGCAGCTAGAGAAGAAAGTGTCATGGGGTGGGAGGTGAGGACCGGATAAGAGGGTGCCAACTCTGAACAAGTATTCATGGAGACTGGGGTCAAGGGAATCCCTCTGGCTGGAACATAAATTCCCCTCCTGTTCTGACCGCACATAGAAACTCCTTTCGAGGGCTGTGTTTTCCTCCAGAAATCAGGAGCTAAAACTTCAGTTCACTCCTAGCAGGTAATGTTTTTGGTTTTTGGAGGCTAAGAAAAATAGATGGCTGACAGAAAGAGATATGGGGGAGAGAATGTGGTTAAAGTGTGTGGTTTCCATGCCTGCTGTCAGCAGAACCGTGGTTTATAGGAAGGAGAGAGGGGTGTTGTGACCCCAAAACAGCCGCTGTAACCTAAAAGAGTGATCTCTTTTCTCTGGTAGCACAGCGGTCACCCTGGGCCCTTACCCCGCTCCCCTTGGGAAGCAAGTGACTCCCTTTCCTTAGGCCTAGCCCCGCTGTGGTCTTGAAGGACCCACGAGCAAGCCAGAAAAAAGGTCCCAAGTCATGTATGTTGCCAGGTTGAAAGCCTCATTCATTTTTAATCCCTGATCTCATCTTGCCCTGGAGCTGCTCATGCCTACCTGAGCAGGTGGGGAGATAAGCTTCTGGGGCTTAAACTTGTCCATTTTGTTCTTTCATACACTTAACAAATATTTACTGAGCACCTACTATGTGCCTGGCCTTGTGTTAGGTACTTGGACTGTGTCAGGAAACAACACAAAGGTCCCTGCCGCGTGGAGTTCACATGTGAGCAGGGTGAGGTCAGACATCAACAGTAACCATAGAAAAGTAAATTCCATAGTATGTAGGCTGGTGATAACACTATGGAAACAGTAGAGGAGGGTACAGGGGATCCGGCGTACCAGGGCAGGGGTAAAGATCCGGCATACCGGGGTGGGGGTAATATTCAACAGGAAGGTCAGGCGAGCCCTCACTGAGAAGGTGAGCTTCTGGGCAAACACTCAGTGGAGGAGAAGGGATGAGCTGGGGGACAAGGTGGCCCTAAGGCAGGGGTGTGCCTGATGGGGTCAGGACCAGCCAGGGCAGCTGGAGCAGAGGGAGTGATAGGAAGGGCCCAGGGCTCATGGCAGGAGGTTGACTTGTCCTTGAAGTGACATGGAAGCCGCTGGAGGGGTCTGAACAGAGGAAGAGAGGTCTGGAGGGGCCGGGTGTAGGCAGGGAGGCCAGGAAACAGGCTGGCAGAGTGATGCAGCTGAGGGTTGATGAGGCTTGGATGCAGTGGAGGGGAAGTGGCCAGGTACTGGATATATTTTGGCAGGATTTCCTGATGGAGGAGATGTGGGGAAGGAGTGAAAAAGGCATCCAGCATGGTGCCAGTGTTTTTAACGGCACCTCCTTTTCTCTGTACAGGTTGAAAACCCCCCATAGGGGTTTCTGCTCAAGTGTGGCTGGTCTGGGCCCTCCCCGTTCTCGAGGCACTGCATGCAGCCCCACTGTTGATGGGGGGTGGGGGTGTGGAGTACGCCCAGGGATTGTTCCTGCTCCTACGCTGGAAGAGCTTTTCACTACCCTTGCCAGTCTGAGGAACTCCCCATACAGTAACTCCCCTTTTTCCCCACCCTGGGGACATCCCACCAGCCTCCACCTCTACAGGACAGTGAGCCTCGTGCTCTAGCCCTCATGGGGGAAGTCTTCGAGATGGAAAACGACAAAACAAAAGGGCTGAGCAGGAACCTGCACCAGGAAACATTACAAAATCATCATCCCTGTTTCATCAGGCCTCACTCCACCCTTGTTTCATAGAATCCCAGGGTTGAGAGGTCCTAGAGATCATTTGCTCAGTCAGGTCAGGGATCTCTCCTGTGACATCGTAAGAGGGTAGTCATTCAGACCAGGGCTGCAATGTACAGATGGACAAGTCATGTACTGTACAAGCCACTAACATCATAGACAATGCAGATATGTATATGTTCATGGCAATCTCCCAACAGATGGGAAAAGAGTGTCATGAAGAAGGGCGTCTTTTCCAATCTGTCCAAATGAGTTGGGGCAATCCTGATCAAGATCCCCTTAAAAGCCCCTGGTGATGGGAGGTTTGCTATCTCAGTGAGACAATTCCTGCCCCAGTAACAGGCAGCACTCAGTGTTACAGAGCTCCTCCATGGACTGACCCAAAGTTGGTCCCTGTGAAGCTCTGGCCCTGGAGTCCTACAAACCAATGGGTTTCCTCTTCCTCAGGGCTGCACTAAAGAAATGCAGAGTAACTGTCACCTGGGTGAAGAAGTGTCTTTTTCAGGCCCCCAGTTTTCCCCAGTCCCTTCCCCAGCTCCAACGCCCTTCAAAAGTGGAGTCCCTAGGACTTCTCTTGATCCCCTGTGGGTATCTGTACACCAGGGTCCCACGATTCCTGTGGTCAGAATCCACTGACCCAGCCGAAATGACCTTCCTGTTCTTCTTTCATCTGTTGCAGAAGGAACATCTGGAGGCCATTCTCTTAGAGCTTCTGCAGAGGATGTTTCTGCCCATTCACAACAGTGAGCCCCACTTTGTTTCTCTGTCCTGCCCACATGCCATGTAGCTCACAGCAGCATCAAACACGTCTGAAGGGTCTACACAGACAGCTGGCTCTGCGTTGTCGCCTGGGCTTGGATAAGAATTGCCTGTGGGCGATGCAGAAGGAGCAGGGCAGAGATACTGAGATCTGGGGTGTGGCAGGGAGGGGCCGGGGAAGGCGCCATGTGTGCCCTTCTGTTCTTCACCCAGGCAGCTAGTGGGGATGGAAGCCCAGAAGTGAGGCAAGTGGCCAGGAAGGGCTTCTTGACATTATGGAAAATCAGAACAGAAGGGGCCCTCAGAGGTGATGGAGCCCACATCTCACACTCCAGCACCTGCAGGAGCCTGGTGCGTAACGGACCCAAGTGAAGCAACCCAGGCAGGGCCTGTGACAATCACGCCCCACCTGATGACCTAACTGACGAGTGTGGGCAACTCACACTCAGCTCAATGGACTGCTGCCAACAGGGCAGATATTTTTTATCTCTGAGAGATGCCAGAAAGCTGAACCTTTTGAGACATCACTCTCATCTTTTTTTTTTTTTCTTTTTTGGTGGCTGATCTGAACCTTTGACCTTGGTGTCATAATACTGCACTCTAACCAATCAAGCTAACCGGCCAGCCCCACCCCCATCTTCAGATATCAGCAACAAAGTCAAACTTTTCCAAAATCCCATTGTCTTAGTTTAAGCCCCCTCAGAAGCAGATCCTGAGATAATGAAGTGAAGGTAGTTCTTTGGGAAATGATCCAAGGAAGATGCAGCGGAGTGGTAAGTCCTACGGGAGTATAGAGCCCAGTTAGCCTTCTCCGCTCCGCTCGTAGAACTCGCAACTTCCTTGCCTTACACCTCTCCTGATGCAGTTTGTGTAACAATCACCCATTCAGCCATGTGATTATTTGATCAGTGCCAGTGTCCTCATTGTGTCCCCAGCACCCTGTCCCGTGCCTCACACACAGGAGGCACTCAGGAAATACATGTAGGACAAACAGCTCAGATCTTACTCACTCCTGAGAAATCACCTGACTCAGCCTCCTCATCTTTCAGATGGAACCCCGCCCCCAGGCCCAGAGAGGTTAAATTACTTACCCAAGGTCACACAGCAAGTCTCTGGCAGAGCTGAGCCCAGAATCCTGGCTTTTGTTTCCCCAACACGGGCTTTTCTCTGGGCTCCTACTAATGTTGGGACTGCAAACTAATGCTAGAGGGGCAGGCAGGGGCTCAAATCTTGGCCAGGCAGAAGGGTCTGGCATCCATCCTGAGGCCCAAGATTCTGGGTATAAACTGAGCAAATTTGTGTTCTAGAAGGGCGACTAATTTGGGGCAGGGGAAGGCGGCAATGGAAGATTCAGCAAGGCAGCCAGAGAGAGAGTCCAGGGGGCAAGGATGTAACGTGACCTAGGACGGCAGGAAAGGCTGGGGAAAAGGACCCACTCTTGCCAGTGCCTCCTGCAGACATCACATTCGATCAGTGTGTCTTAGATCCTGGACCACAGAGAGGCACAGTAAGGGTCAACAGAGGACCCAGAGGCTAGGCCTGGCCCAGTTGGGAAGCCTATATAGTCTTACAAGCTCTGCACACATAGGCCAGTAGGTTACACAGTGCCAGACGGTGGTGCTATTCAGACTGGAATCCTGTCCAAAGCTCACCCCACAAGAGGGAAAGGGCAGGGTCAAAGCCACTGAGGAAATTTAGGAGGCCTTCCTGCAAGAAGCAGTCTGAGGTAAGAGAACTGGCAGCGGAGAGTCGTGAAAGTCTGTGCCACCAGCAGGGTCATCTGGCTCAACACAGAGGATTGAAAGGAAGGGGTCTGGAGGCTGGGAGATGGGAGGCTGGTGAGGAGACCCCCACAAGGTCTGAGGACAGATAGGAGACCAGAGGCACCTGTCCCTCTTCCTCCATCCCACCCCCAACCTGCCTGGGCCTGAACAACACTGCAGGCCAGTGGGGGGTTTCAGATCCTCCTCTGAGCCCAGAGCGATTATGAGGGATGGGGTGGGTAAGGGTTGGTCAGCACAGAAGAGGGCAGGAGGGGCCCATGCCAGGCCCTCGAGGTCAAGTCTTGGAAACTCAGTTTGCTGAAAATCAACCAGCTAAATGGCTAATTCACTGAAACTCAAATTGTAAAATGACCAATTCTCCAAATTTACCAATTTACCAAAAACTTGCTTTAAGAATTATTTTTCATATATCTGATAAGTATATTCATGAATATTTTGATATATTCAATAGATATTTTCTTATTAATATAACCAAATTTCTAGTGTTTTAAGGTTAATTTTACAGTTTACTCTGACTTCTTCCTAATCCTTTTTTTGTGTGTGTGGTGCTATGAGCACCACACTCTAACCAACTGAGCTAACCAGGCAGGCCCTCTAATCCTTTTTGAAACACTTTCTGTTTCTGCCACATTTTAGCATTTTTTAGAACATATAGTATTTATAGCCATTTTCCTCAATTAAAGAAGAATAAAATTCACTAATAGATGCATAAGAAGCCTCCAACAAATTGAACATTCCTTAAAATGCTGCTAAGAAGAATATTTTCATAAGAATGTGTTCACAGTTACTGTATTCGAGCAGAATTTCCCGTAAGATAGGTGTTTAGTAAATGGGTAGAGTAGTGGGTTAGAGAGTGGCTTTCCCCAACTGGAGCTGTTCAGGGGCTGCCTGATGGGGGATGGCGATTGTCCCCCACCCCCCTCGGGGAAGGGAAAGGGAAGAGGGACACACCCAGGCCCTTCCCTGTTCTAGGCAGTGGAGCAGCCAGGGGTGAGCTGGCCTCCCTCCCCACCACCCCCTGCCCTGCACCCACAGCCACCTCTGCCCACTAGGGCACTGAGCTCCTCTCCCCTCCTCTCACAGAGCGGCTCAGAGAACAACGCCTCCCACTGCCCAACATCAAGGGCATTTCCTTTGACCAGGCCCGAATAGACCTCTCCAAGGTAAGTAAGAGCTAGAAGCACCTTCAAGCCCTAGAGGTGCCTTGTCTCCAAACTGCAGTGGCAGAAGCTGAGTTTCAGGTGGAGGAGGGGCTTCTGTGCACCAAGTCTTTGCCTCCCATATCTCACCTCCTCCTCACAGCCATCCTGGATGTGACGCCCCCTTACAGATGAGGAAACTGAGGCTCCTAGGGGCTATAAGCATCCCTCAAGGAGCCAGACCATACGGCTCCTCCAGAGCTTCAATGCCTTACACAAGTGATCACAATTGAGGGAACTAAGGCTCAGAGAGGCAGAGAAACTTGCCCAGGGCAGCAGAGCCAGAATTCCAACTAGGTGCATCTGACATCAAAACCTGAACTCTTAGCCCAGACCACCCACCTCCCTAGAACTTGGCTGTCTAGACCCCCAAAACAGGGCTGTTGTGTCTGGCGCCTGCTATCTGTGAACCACCAGAGGCTGGAAACAGGGCCAGCCCTTGGCCAGCTAAACACCAGAGAGGTTAGATGCAGCAAAGACCAGAGGGCAGAGAAAACCAGAGAAGGAACCATGGAGGTGTCACCAGGGGAGTTTGCCTGTTCTCAATCTGCTCCTGGAGCTGCCCTGCCTATGTGGCTCTCTTCCCTTTCCATGGTGGAATGAACCTGAGAAGAGGCCAGAGGAGTCAATGGGAAGGGATGAGGCTTAGACAGGCCCTTTATTTCTTTGTCTCCCACCTTTAAAAAGATTCCCATCTTAAACAACAGAGCAGGAAGGACCAAGGCAGAGAGGACTGGACAGAACATCCTGGCTATGTGACCTCAGGCAAGCCACTGCCCTCCTCTGAGCCTGTTGTCCCTGTCTGTAAAATGGGTATAAAGATAGTTCTCCCCATGAGCTGGAAGTGAGCGCTCTCCTTTACAAACATGACAACTGTTAGGACACTGATTTCACCCAGCCCTACGCTGGCACTTCACAGAATGTCGTGACCCACCATCCCAAAGTTTGAGCTTCAGAGCCCTCAACTTATGCCCAAGCCTAGACCCAGGACACCCTGTACCCAGTCCCGACATTCAAGAGACACTAGAAACCTGCTTTCAAGAACCAGAAGTTACTGTGCAGGAGGCAGGAGGTGACAGCAGCAGGTTGCCTCGTCAAACCCCAGCTCCTGGCCTGTGTTACTCCCCAATTTCCACCCTGCTGGCCCCTCCCCTAGATTCAGCCCAGGTGACCCAAGCAGGGCAGAGAGACCCAGATACACTCAGGTGGGGCCTGGAGGAGCCACTACAGGTAATACAGGGGCTGGGGCTGCTCCAGAAATGATGCCACAAACCCTGGAAAGGTGGGCCCATCAGCTCAGGGGGCTGCCCAGGTGTCCCTCTGTCCTCTGAACATCAAAGAAGAGCAGAGGCAGGGCACAGCCAGAGCCTGGGACCAGCCATGCCTGTCCTGATTGCTCAATCTTTCATTCACTGTCACTTGTGCCCTCAGTCAATGAATATCACTTACCTACCGCTCTGCGCCTGGCACTGTGCTGGGCCATGCTGGACAAAGACCAGAGTTAGACCTAGTCCCTGCCCCTCCAGGAGCTCCCATTCTGGTGGAGAAAGAAGACGCTGGAGCACATGAACTCCAGTAGTGTGGTCGGGTCTGGCAGAGGTTTGGGCATTGTGGGTGGGAGGATGTGGGTGGCGCTACCTGGCTAAAGGCCCACCTCAGGACAACCTTGCTCAGTCAGAAACATCAGAGGCCCCTTGACACACAGGCTCCCGGGAAGAGCCCCCAAAGTCTGGTGTGTTCCTTCCCTCACGAGCATTCCCGAGATCCCCCTTCCCCTCTGCCCTATCCCGCTGTCTGGTCGGTCTCTGACTATGCCTTCTTGGCCTGAGAAGGCGTCCTTAGGACACATACAGAGCTCCTCTCAGCAGCAGCAGGAGCAGCCTCAGAGAGAGCGTGTTTTCTGGCAAAAAGGATGATGGGGAGCATCTCTCTGCTTCTATCCACACCAGAGGAGGAGCCAGTTCTGACCAAGGGCCAGTCCCTTCCCTCAGCCACACGCTTGGGACCCCGAGAGTCTGAGAATGGCCGCAGTCACAAAGGGAAATCTCAGTTGCAATAAAGAGGATTCCTGCATGAGAAGGAGTCTGTTCTCAGCTTGCTGAAGGGTTCTGTGAGGTGGGGAGACTGCCTTGAAGTATTTAAACGAAGGATTTTTCTCCTTGATATGTCTCGTTCTCCTTGTCCCTCACAGAGTTACTCTGAATTCTGTATTCAGTGCCTCAGAGAAGGGAGGTTCCTCAGAAAACAGAGAAATGGCCTCTGGGTTTCAAAAGTGCAGGCCCTGAGAGGATGGAGTATAGAAAGGACCTAGAGAATCTGCAAGAAGGAAGCAGGAAAGAGGGGAAGTTCAGGGTCTCTAAGAAAGAGGGAACCACAGGAGCCCAGAGATGTTTGGGAGGCCCTGAGTGCAGAGGAAAGGGGCTGAGGGAAGCTGCCGGCCCCCCAGCCTAGGAGCTAGATCTAGGTGATTATGAGATAGCCATACTTCAGAGCTCCCCGAGAGGTGTAGTGGGCAGCAGAGTGATTTGCACGTGTCTGAGAGCAGTGCCACCACGGGGGAAGGTCTGGATACACCCCATCCCCCAGCTTCCCTAGCCCACATGGCCCTAGCAGGACAGGGCAGCAAACAGAGAAAGGTCGAGCACCAGGCAGCCTTGCAGGCAGAAATGTGTGCAGCAGCATGTGTGCCAGAAGTGTGTACCAGGCAGAGAGGCGGCAAAACATAGAGGCCCCCACCTGGGCACTTGTTGCAGCCCACAGTAGTTAGGACAGGCCCTGGGAAAAGGCAGGTGAGGAGAAACTTGGGGCTGATTATGATAAAATCCCCACCAGCAGGATGTCTTGGAAATGAGCAAGCATTCAGCCTGCCTCTGAAAAACTGGAGGAGTCTGAGGGAGGTCCTTCTCCACCATGCAGCCCAAACCACAGAGGGGCCCTCAAGGATTTTCATGGGTCTGGTGCAGGGTCCCTGTACTGCAGTAGGAGGTTGGGTCCAGAGCCAACCATGCCATGGGTTCTCTACTCGAATCCCTGCTCTGTTTTATGAATATGAACCACAAGCCCAACCTTGAAGGGAAGAAAAGTCCCCAAGCAGCCCTCAGGGAGGTCTTAAGCCTGACGGCAGGACCTCCCTGCACTTGATCTTGCAGTCTCCCAGCCCTTAATGTATACAGTATATAAGACATACCTCATGTAGGGTGGAGGCTGGGAGACACTCTCCCAAAGGAAAGTTAAACCCTTACTCCAAGTCCAGAATCTTCCCACCCATGTGTGAGCACAGTGCCCAACGCCAGGCAATACTGAGTACAAAATGGTGGAATGGAAATGGAGACTTTATCAGGAGCTTGAAGGAAGTCAGGCAAGCCTTGGCCTCCTCCTGAGCATGGGTGGCCTTTCCCAGGCATGAGTGAACCTCTCCCACCAGCCAGGGAAGCCTCTCATGACGTTAACAGTTGTATCTCACTTCACAGTTTGCAGGCACACACATTGTTTTCCCATTAGATCTTCAGAGAACACTGGGTGGTGCCAGGTGGGGAGTGTGATTATCCCTGTGTGCCAGGTAAGGAAGCCCACGCAGCTTCTGATGCTGGAAGTCGGGATGCAGGTTGACCTGAATCCAAAGACCATTCTCCTCCCTGCTCCACCCCACATGGCCTCTCCCTGACCACACTCCCCATCCCCAGGCCTCTCCTCAGCTGGGGAGCAGGCAGCCACTTCGCCCCTGCCCCAAAACACCTCTCCCACTCAGCTGCTCTGCTGGTCTAGAGTCTTCCCTATTGACATCACTTCTGAAGGTCTTCTTAAAGAAATGCACATTTTAAGAAATAGTTTTCAAGTTTCTCAAGGCTAATGATATATTTCCTCAAATGAATCCTTACAAAGAAACCTGATACATAAAACAGAGGACAAAGGAGCTGGGCTGGTTAGAATGAGGCTGGGGGCTGGAGCTCTGCCCCATCAAGTGCCACTTCCTAACCCCCAAGGTGGGCCCCTCTGAGCAACCTGTATGCTCCACGGAGTTAAGGCATTGAGTTCCCAGGAGCGAGGCCCAGTGCATGAGCCATCAAGAACCAAGGAGCAGAAAATTCCTTGGAAAGGGGCCAGCCCGTGGCTCACTCAGGAGAGTGTGGTGCTGATAATACCAAGGCCACGGGTTCGAATTTCATATAGGGATGGCCGGTTAGCTCACTGGGTGAGCGTGGTGCTGACAACACCAAGTCAAGGGTTAAGATCCCCTTACCGGTCATCTTTAAAAAAAAAAAGAGAAAGAAAATTCCTTGGAAGAAAGGAGCCTCAAAAGGAGAACATAGAAGGCTCTTTCTCACTCCTCCCTACCCAGAACAAGGCACCACTATCTCCCAGGAGTGGCTCAGGCCAAAAACATGGACAGTCTCCGATTCCTCCACACCTAGTTCAACAGCCGTTCCCATTGTCCTACTTTCTAAGTCCCTCTCAAATCCGCCAGCAATACCACACTGGACAAGGCCTTCACCATCTCTCACCTGGATTATTCCAACCACCTTCTCCCTAGTCTCTCTGCTTCTACCCTGCCCTCCAGTAGCAGCCAGAGTGACCTTTCAAAACATAAACCAAATCACGCTACTTCCTGGTTAGAACCCTCCAGTGGCTTCCTATCCAACTCAGAAGAAAATCCAGTCTTCACCACAGCCCACAAGGTTCTGCCTCACCTGGCCCCAGCCCTGCCCTTCGTCTTATCTTTCCTCTCCCCCTCACATCACCTGCTCAGCCACACTGGCCTGCGAGTTGCTCAAACACACCAAGATCGTCCCCACCATAGTCTTGCACAGACTTTTCCCTCTCTCTCTTCTCCCCACTCTGTGTGGGTAGTTCCTTCTCATCCATTAAGTCAACTGAGAAATCCCCTCCTCTGAGAAGCGCTCCACAATCCCCATCTCAACCCTTTGTATCTTTCAAAACACTTAACACAACTTGTCATTATTTTACAGAATGGTCTGTTGACTTGTTCTGTGTCTGTCTCTCTAACTGGAAGTCATGAGGGGAGAAACCATGACTATATTCCTGGTGCCTGGTACATAGTAGGTGCTCAATAAATACCTGAGGAGTGCATGGATGGACAGATGGATGGGTGGATGGATAGATGAGTGATGGATCAATTAACTCATCTCTACTAATTCAGGCCCCATTCACATCTGAGACACCATCACTGGCACCAAGAGGAGAAGCAGCGGCCAAGGGTTTCAGATTCCCCATTGGCATAAAAATGTATTCCAAAGAGAAATAATTCCTATCTGTTTATCAGAATGAAGAGCTTTTCTTTTTTTTTTTTTCCTTTTTGTCTTTTTTCGTGACCGGCAACGGATCACAACCCTCAGTGTCGCGCCCGTACTGGACCGGGACCAGCAATGGGATCACAACCATCAGTGTTGCACCCACACCTCGCTCAGCCAGTGAGCGGGAACCGGTCTGTATGTGGGATCCGAACCCTTGGCGGGAGCGCCACCGCACTCCCAAGCGGTGCACTGTAGCAGTGCGCCACCGGGCCAGCCCAGAATGAAGAGCTTTTCTAAGGGACACCTTAAAACAAACAAAATCTAGTTTGAAATATTACATGGAATCAAACTGTTTTTCTTTCCAAAGTAAATTTATAATTCAGATATTTCACTAATTGACACTCACCTTGCCCCACAAGAAATCCAAGTGCTTGAGTAAGCCAAATCACAGATGGATCAGGAATCTTGAAAACATTCATATTATCTGAAATACATATGATAAATTCTCACTTCTGGGAATTTCCTAAAGAAATAATTGGAGATGGAGGCAAAGATTTAAGGGTAGAACTGGTTGCCACAGCATTGGTTTTATGGTGAAAGTTTGTAACAGTATGGGATTTTTTTTGTTATAAATTCTTAATAAAATATATTGTACAGCCATTAAAATAATGCTTTTAAAGAGCATTTGGTATCATAAGAAAATGCTCACAAGAATATCAGGATACAAACCTATTTAGAATATGATCCCAGATTTGATTACATGCATCTAAGCTAAATTCAAATTGTAGGCTGTGATTATCAGATGGCTTGAGAGGTAGAATTTCATATAATTTTTATTTTCTTCTTAATATTTTTTCCAAAATTTTTACAGTGAACATGGTATCTTTTATCATTAAGGGGGAAAATATTCTCATTTATT